ACCGGAGGTCAGTTGTTTTGGTATGACCCTTAGCTTATGCGTTTTGACTTAATTGCAGCTCACGATGACTCTTGGGTAATATCGAGGTCTCTCGTTACACAACAACATGCGGTGACAACCCCGTTGCCTGTGCATACACGAACACCGTTTGTCAGTTGTTGGACGCTCGCTTAGCCCCCCCTTTCCAATACGTTAGCATACATGGACGCATGCACTTCCTTCAGAGGGGACTTGCTATCCACAGTTTGGTTGTTCTAGGCTAAGGAAGGGTGCCACCGGATTTCCTAGCATGAAGATAGTGGCTGCCTGAATTTGTTTAGTCATAGTCACTCAGGAAGGGCCTAATTACTATTCTTTTTGCAAATATTTTTAGCGATGAGCCTCCGCAAAGAGGGAAGACACTATGCTGCGCCGAACGCTGCAGCCACCAGCCCCTAGACCCACCCCCTGTAGCTGCCGCCGGGTGGTAGTGTGGGCCCTTTGCAGATTTTGGTGCTGCACATGAAAAATTTGTTTCACGATTGAATGGATTAATGAGCTGCAGGCGGCAGTACTTGGACTTGAATAAGTGTCAACGCTCTCTTTCGATCCGTCCCTGCGAGGCGGCAGGCAGCCGTCAGATCACCTGCGGTCTGCAGTTGACTTCCATGTTTTGCATCTATCTCAATGATGTTGCCTCAATTTTGAGGTCATATCTGCTCATTTGTACGGGTTTCTGACTTTAGTTGCAGACCTTTTACTTGAACTTGCCCCCCCCTGGGGCCGTTGGCCGAGGCCCTCTGTGTCTTTATGCGCGGTGCCCGCCTTCGCGTTCGAGACACTTCCGACCAACACAAGGTCTCGAGTCCAAGATGGCATTCCTAAAGGCGTACTGAGGCACCCCCGTAGCCTCAGTACTGCTCACCCCGCCGGCGAGAAGCGGCGGAAACGGGTAAGCTGGGAGCGTCGTCACCATTGGCAAGCATTAACTCCTTCGTGCACATATTCGTCCGTCTGCTTTGGATTCCCTGTGGCCTCTGGACATTGAGGGGCTACGAGGGTAAAGTGACTGAGGCGAAAGAGGCACAATGAGTCCTGGACGGGACGCGTTGCTGGAGCCAGAAGCTCTTTGTGGTATTCCTGCAGACTTTTCTTCTATGCCATTGGCCTCCGAAAGTACGGAGGCTGACGAGAACAGTCCTGATCCCCACAGAAATTCTGTGTCTCCAGGCGTTTTTCTGCCGGTTAAAGCATCCATGGCCCTACCCTCGAGAGAAGAGCCAGTGGAAGCCCATTTTTCCAGCGGTAAATACCAAGAAAGAAGTTGGAGTGGATCCAAAGAAAGGCACGCAAATCCTTGTCAACTGAGCAGCAACGGAATCCAAGCTGATGTCCGGCACACATCGCCTTCGCCAGCTTGTGGTTTGCCCGGAAGCACTACAGAGCATCGCTTGACGACCCAGAGCGTTCACAGTTCAGTCTCCTCAGAGCATACCTCTGACTCCATATCAAAGCTCTCAACGCCACAGATCTTCTTAGATGATTCAGATGGCTCTGGAAGCGACGATGGAGTGGCCGTTTATATTGACGAGACAGACGACGATGCCAACGATGGCTTGTTGATCACGGAGTGCCGCATCAGCTCCCGGAAAGCAGCTGAAATCCGCGCGTTCAAGGAGCGCTGGGTGGAACAGATGCTGTTGAAGAAGGCACAACTCCTCAGCCCGTCCCTCACCAAAGGCGTAGGAACTGGGGGGAAACGCCGGACGTGCAGCGCTAGCAAAGAGACAAACGGACATGAGTCTGGCGCTGCTGCTACGCAGGGCGACGGGGCTGAATTTCTAGAGAGCAAACTGAGGGCTTTCGCTGCATGCATGATGCCTGAGGCGCTAGAGTGCATCTGCCGCAACGCGAAACGGTGGGTTGAGGCGTCTAGTGACTCTTCAGATTCAGAATCCCCAGGGGTTCCATCCTGCTGCTCCCGCCGCCGGCATTCAAAGGCCGTTTCAGGGGCATTGCCTTTATCCGACCGGAGCTGTCATGATTCTGCGGCTCCGCATGCACGCACACCAGCCACGGAGAAGCAACAGCAACCGGCTTATAGCAGAGACCAACAACAAGGCGATGCTGCTGCTGACATCGCGCTGCAGTCATGGGGACGCTTTCTCAAGTACATCCGGAAAACCAGCAGGATTTTGCCCTCACGACAACGAATTGAATGGAAAGCAGGTCTTGAAAGCGACGACGATGACGAACAAGCCCCGCTGTACATGTGCCGACCGGGATCTGTGCAGAGGCCGTCACCACTAATTAGCCACAGCCTCACAGAACACCTCAAGGCGTCTGGCACAATGTTCTTCAAACAATTCCGCAGGCAGTATCTAGCGGCGTCTGTTCCCGCTACTCCTGATACTTCGGGTGTAACCTCCACACAGCCGCAGCTATCTACTGCAGTGGGAACGGAGTCTGCGTCGGACTGCGCAGTAGTACATGCATCCCCAGCAAGCGACTCTGCAGGTGAGACGGTCAACGATGACGAACGAAAGTCCCATTCCAAGGCGGATGCTGAAGAGGCGGTCCCACTGTATGAAATAAGTGCAGAAACATCAGCTTTGTTCGGCGATATGATGCGGCTTGAAGACACGGCGCGGATGCTCGACGCGTCGTGCACCTTCCGCCTGCCAGCAGCTCCTTCTTCAATCGTCCGTTCCAAAAAGTCGAAGCCTAAAACAGGTGTTGAACCAGCACACAGACACAGCGGTTCTTCTGTTCTCTGTTGTGGCGGTGCTGGCCTGTGCTCTGCTGCAATCGCCGACTCGACTGCCACGGCTGCAACCGCAACCGCAGCAACGGCCCCTCCTCAGCACAGACGTAGAGGCCATGTGACCCTGTATACCAGCCCCCACGCAGCAACTGCCGCTGCACTGAGCCAGCTGATCGTGAATTGTCAAGCGGAAAAGCGGTTGGAAGCGCATGCCCACCAGCACGTGCCGTGCGTGGCAGTTGCAGGTGCGAGTCTTCTGAAACCAGAAGAGACCAGCTTTGACAGAGAAGATCAAGAGGGCAATGGCTCCTGCGTTGTATATACAGTCCAGGCAGATGAGGACACTTTGGCATTGAGCGGCTTGGATGCGGAATACTGCGCTCGGGTTAGATCGGCTTCGCAAGGGAGAAACCGGGCAGCGAGCAGCTTGGCACATTTGGAATGCATGCAACTCAACGGCAGCGCCTTGCAAGGAAGTGTAACTCCTGAGGCGGTGCATAAGAAGAAGCGTAAAGCCCCTGTCGAGACCACTGTGGTATCGAGTGACGATGAGGAGTCGGGTAGTGAGCGCTCTCCTGGTGAAGAAGAAGCACCAGGAACAGCGTGTCGCGCAGAGGCAGCAGAGGAAGCAAGCTCCCGCAGGTCGCTTATGGTCGACAAGCTCATGCTAGCGCACCTCATGCCTTATCTTCCGCAGTTTGGCCCTCCATAGGAATGCCGGCTGCGAGGTCCTGAATCTCCGCTTGCATCCGTCACCCTTATTGGCCACATTGTCTCTTTAGCAGGAGCCGGACAACTGGCAAAACAGTTCGTTTGGCTCTGATGATTTGACCTTGTCCAGCGCACTGGGGCGATACGCAGAGAAGCTCCAAGNTAAATGAGTCGAAAGCACATACAAATGTGAGTCGTATGCAGATGCACGCCAGATCGCAAGCAGAGCGTGAAGGAAGAATGCAGTCGCGGTGTAGGAGCTGCGGACCCTGAGGGTATTAGGGAAACAGAGACGTTGAGCAAGCTGCACTATTTAGCCACCTGAGAGCTGCATCGTTTTATTACGGCTCCACCATATGCGCGTTCTTCAGAGGGTTTTGCACATGTGCAGCCTGGGCCATGTCGTCGAGGATATGGCACTATTTGGCGTGTGGCGCTCGAAGGAGCACCTTTACTTGGCACCGGTAACATTTAGGTATGAATTCCATTGCTTCATTTGATGCAAATGGACACTATATTTGCGACTGCATATCTAGTGCTGGCGCTGCCGTTGGAGTTGGATCGGAGCGGCTGGTGCAGTGGCAGAGGCAGACGGATTTACATGCTGTGCCCCTTTCTAGTTTCGGTGCGTCATGTCGGGACTGACACAAGATGAGTTATCTGCATCAGTCTCCCACTCGCAACAGGGAACATCTCGAACGCCGCAAAGCCCAAGTGCAAGCCACTGTACCAGCGTTCAGACTTTAGATACAATACACTTGGGACTTGCGCTTGACGGAGAGTAGCTCTGCAGAAGAAACTAGTGCTGTTCCATCTGGGTACGTGCCACTCTCTGGGTAGTCCTCGCATGCGTGTGCAGCATTTCCGCCCAATGCTATGTAGTAACATTCGCGCAATGGGAGCTCNGGTAGTCCTCGCATGCGTGTGCAGCATTTCCGCCCAATGCTATGTAGTAACATTCGCGCAATGGGAGCTCCTCTCCACTTCTTTTGGTTTGCTTATTACGCATACATTATGGTAGCAAGCGCTAATCCAAGTTCCTTTACCTGCACGTCACCCATATCCCGGTCTTCCCCAGGGACAGTAGGCGCAAGAGCCCCTAAATGTTGAACTACCCAATTATATCCGACAAGACGTATTTTTCTGAGCAAAATACTCTCCAGCTATTACGGAAAGGAGGGGCCACTGCCCGAAGGGCGCCGTCGCCTTAACAAAATCACAAATTGCCCTACCTTTCTGTCCTTTCCCCGTCGCGTACGCCCGTCAGGAATCGTAGCGGGCTGCCAAGTACTTGCTTCAGTCTTCAAATTGCCCGGATACGAACGGATCTGGCTAGAATATTTCTGGATTGCGGCGTGTAAGTGGGGACTTGCCGCTGCTGGAGTTCAGTTTGCACCTACCTTGACGCAGCGCCCCGTCCAGCCATGTGGCACAAATTGCTGTGCGCTACAGCCATTTGTGCCATTTGGCTGGACGGAACGCAGCATTCATATGTGCAGTTGCTCGCACAAGTACGTGCTAAACTACTGACTACAGTGTTAGCGCATGCATAAATTGGAACTCTGGTAAACCTCGATGCGTCATTGACCCTAATCAAGAGTTGCAGCAACGTGCGCTGCAACACATGGCGCGCCATCGCCTCGCGCCGCGCCACCAGAACCAGGGCCTGGGGTCGCTGTGCCCAGGACGACTGAAGACAAAGGGGGGATTCAGCTGCCTTCAGAATAACTCTTATTGTAAATCTTTGAATTATATTTCCGCTCATCGCTTTTGGTAGATTGGAAGACTGTCGGTGCAGCTGCAGCTTACTGGTGCCTAGGTCAAGCGTATTTCGCTCACTGCGTGCCTGCGGGAGTTTACTAATTCAGTTCGGCACGCTGCATCCCCATTCCAGAATCAATGCACTTCTACTCAATGTGCACATAGCCAAAAGGGCGGTTCGACACTTTACCAATGCGATAAAAACAGCCGGAATTGCAAGCGAAAGGGAGTTGAAAGATGGAGCAGAGTTGTTCCCATCAGCTAATCTAAGCGACCCTGTGCGCCTATCCTTGTAAACATGACACCTTAACAGAAGGAAATTGATTTGCGGGCATTCCGCATCTCCCCACATGGTGTATTAGTCCAGAAGGAACCACCGTAACGACAAGCAGAAGTTGCAACCGACGTACGGCGGGGGATTGTCGGTACTGCAAATAAATACATTTATCATATATACAATCTATACAACGATAGATCATTAAATACTAAATATTCTGTATGATTTGAGGCATGTGTAGAACTGTTGAAAGGATAGTCTTTCCGCTGGAGTCGGTGGCGCTCAGCGAGATGTTGGCCCCATCGTCTAGCATGCTTGTCCATACGTTGGCTTGCGCTGCGCTGAAGCGTCTCGAAGTGTACTCCATTTTATGTTTTAAATTTATATTTAGTTTTTCTCGTTATTTGCTGTTAATGAACAGCCGTCTTCGTTTCCGTTCACAAGTTCTCGATTTGGTCGGAGCCGTTCAGTTTCCATGAATGGCACCGTCGATTCAACAGATCCCTCAAACTGCATCACAATGCATGCTCATACATTAGTAGCATAGGGCTATTGAGCCATTTTAGTCATTTTATTGTATAAATTTATACTATTATCTGTTTTTTTAACTACATTCGTCCCTGGCAGCATGAGCATTCGGGGTGGTGCGTGCTGGAGTGCTACGTACAGCAAGCAGTATGGCGAAGCCCGCTGGAAATCGTTGCTAAATGCTCTTGCAGAGGTGCCAAACCAACTGGCTTTCGTTTCTCCGAGTATATCCCACAGCGCGCTACGTTACCTGATAAGGAAGCCACGGTTTGCGCCCTGCTTGATCCCCAATTGCTTCTCATTTGAGGGCCCCACGGCAAGAACAGACGATAAAAAAGACGATGCAGCTGCTGAGTGTGCTGCATCGGTATCCTCTGATTCCAGAGGACAGCTGCCGACCGATCAGAACACGAGCGGCAATGTAGCGATCGTTGAAGATGAACATATTGCCGAGGAGGCAAGGGCAAAAACATACTTTCTAGGTAATTCCTAACCTACGTCAGGAAATCAGGTTTTACAGTTTCAACAAACATAACAAACATGCATAGTGTTGTGCCTCACCATACACTCCGGACACTTTACACAGATTTGTATTCGGCGTTTTAATTGGATTTTACTTGTGCGCGTTGTTTGTGACTGTACAGACGGA